TATTAGAAAGGGAGAGAGAGAGAGAGAGAGAGAGAGAGAGAGAGACGAGAGAGAGAAGATAAGAGACAGAGAGAGAGGAGAGAGAGAGAGGAGACGAAGAGAGAGAGGAGAGAGAGAAGAGAGAGGAGAAAGAGACGAAGAGAGAAGAGAGAGAGAGAGAGAGAGAGAGAGAGAGAGAGAGAGAGAGAGAGAGAGAGAAACAATTTCAACACAATCGCATTAAAAGATAGAAAGAAACACACATTGCGTATACCAAAATCCTAGAGATATTGCCTATAACTACAAGGATCAATGTCAAGGAGTCCCGAGCTGAGTGTGGCGAGTCCGGGGAGCCCTCACGGAGCCGCAGCCGACGTCTTGCCCTTCGCCCTCCTCCCGGCTGACTCCGGCGAGGGCATTAGCCTCTCCGCCAGAAACACGAGGACGCCGACCAGCAGCCCAACCACGAGGAGGAAGAGAGTGCCCTGAAGGTGCGAGATCGAGAGGGGCTGCAGGTCTCCGCTCTGGGACCCCTCCTTTTGGACCGCTCCCGCTGCCTCCGTCTTCTGCTTCTCCTGCTGGCGGATCTGGTGGGACTTCTTCTTCTCTTCGCCCAGCACCTCCTCGCTCCACCGTCGGATCAGGCCGGCCTTGGAGGACAGGGGGGGGGGGTGAGGCTGGTTATGAAGGGACCGTATTCACTTACTTTTTCAAACAGCAATACAGTTCACCTTTCGCGTTCTCGCTGCTTCACGGATTGCATTGATGATTGAAATTATTATTTTACAGTACAGCAGTTATTTGTAAAAAACGTTTATACCGTACTTTTATTTGTTAAATGCTTGGGCCTGTAAAAAGGTTTTGTTCTTTGGTTTCAATGTATTGTAGAGTATTTCATTGTATAATAATTGTAAAAAAAATAAAGGTTACTACTTCACGGATTTCGCCTATCACGGGTTCTTTTTGGAACGTAACCCCCGCGAAAAACGAGGGTTCACTGTAAACCCGTTATTGTTTCGGTATCATCATCAATGAAGTATTGGTTATTCTGACACCAAGGTCAAATATCTTGCTATCTGTTTTACGTCACAGGTATTTCCACCGGTCTTTTCAATACATTATACTGACTTTTCTACATATACATATATGATTTGCAATACATTATACTGACATTTTACATACTGACTTTTCTACATATACAAATATGATTCCAATACATTATAACTGACTTTTCTACATATACACATATATGATTTGCAATACATTATACTGACTTTTCTATATACACAAATATGATTTTCCAATACATTATCCTGACTTTTCTACATATACATATATGATTTGCAATACATTCCACAAATACCGACTCACCTCATGGAATGCCAAGATGCACCAGTCCAAATTCCGTTTGAAGGGATTGTCTCGGTACAGGAGCCAAGCCGAGTACCCGGGCACTAGGTTCTCCCGCACCACGTACATCGATGTGGACCCGTCGAAGTTGGTGAAGTTCCGGATGATCATCAGATTCAGGAAAAGCCGTTCGAAGATGAATGCGTGTCTGGAAGGTGCGAAGGTGAGGTGAAGAACGTAAATGAGGTCAGACGTAAAGAACGTAAATGAGGTGAAGAACGTAAATGAGGTGTGTAAATGAGGTGAAGAACGTAAATAAGGTGAGGGACGTAAATAATTGTATGTGAAATGGGTGGATGTGATTGTTTAACTCTACACATGCAGACATTGGCCCCGTAGGATCAGTGGATGGATTGGAATGGGACTGTTAGACAAATTAAGATTTTTGCCAGACAACATCGAATAGAATGTGTGTGTGTGCGTGTGTAGCCGGACAGAAAACAGAGAGACGAAGAAACAGACAGAGAGAGAAAAAAAAGAAGAAAGAGAGAGAGAGAGAGAAGAGAGAGAAGAGAGAGAGAGAGAGAGAGAGAGAGAGAGAGAGAGGAGAGAAGAGAGAGAGAGAGAAGAGAAGAGAGAGAGAGAGAGAGAAAGGAAAGGAAGAGATAGAGAGAAAGAGAGAGAAAGATAGGAGAGAGAAAGAGAAAAAAAAAAGAAAGGAGGAGAGAGAGAGAGAAAAGAGAAAAAGAGAGAAAAAAAGGAAAGAGAGAGAAAGAGAGAAAGAAAAAAAAAAAAAAAAAAAAGAAAAAGAAAAAAAAGAAAAAAAGAAAGAAGAAAAAAGAAAGAGCAAAAAAAAAAAAGAGAAAAGAGAGTATGTCACACCTGAACCTCACTTTTTCTCGAGGGCTTGCTGCATCCCACCAAGGTGCGTCTCCGAGAAGTACGTCCGCTCAGCCAGTTCCACAGACATGCTTGAGTTCGACTCCTTGAATGTCGTGTAAAAGTTGATTTTGAGATCGGGAGACATTATCACCCTGTAATTAGAGGACGAAAGAGTGTTGGTTTTCTGAAAGGCGGCGATATTAAGAAGATGTGTTTGTTTTGGATGGTAAGAAATGAGTCCTAGATGCTGCGTGGACGTTAATGCGGTTGCGAACAGTAGCTGCGATAGGAAAATGTAGCGTGAGAGTCTTATATAGAAGTAAAATTGTCTTCTATTTGTTTTCACATAGTAACTACCTGTTAAAAAATAGTTTATCAGAAATGCATAACAACGGTATGAACATGAACTCTGACAGATAGGTGATGCCACTACTTCATTGCGACGCTCTCTCTCTCTCTCTCCCCTTTCATTCTTTCTCTCTCTTTACCTTTATTCTTTCTTTCTCTCCCTTTTATTCTTCTCACTCTCTCTCTTTTTATTCTCTTTCTCTCTCTCTCCTTTATTCTTCTTTATCTCTCTCTTTCTCCTTTTATCATTCTTTCTCTCTCTCTTTCCTTTTATTCTTTCTTTCTCTCTCTCTCCTTTTATTCTTTTTTCCCTCCCTTCTCCTCCTTTTTTATTCTCTCTTCTCTCTTTTATTCTTTCTTTCTCTCTCTCTTTTCCTTTATTCTCTCTCTCTCTTTCTCTCCTTTTTCTTTCTTTCTATCTATCTCTCTCTTCTCCTTTTATTCTTTCTCTCTCTCTCTCTCTCTCTCCTTTTATTCTCTTTTCTCTCTCATTCTTTCTCTCTCTCTCTTTCTCCTTTTATTCTTTCTTTCTCTCTCTCTCTCCTTTATTCTTCATTCTTTCTCTCTCTTTTCTCCTTTTATTCTCTCTTCTCTCCTTTTTATTCTTTCTTTCTCTTCTCTCTTCCTTTTATTCTTTCTTTCTCTCTCTCTCTCCTTTTATGCTTCTTTCTCTTCTCCTCTTTCTCTTCTTTCCTTTATTCTTTCTTTCTCTCTCTCTCCTTTATTATTTTTTCTTTCTCTCTCTCCTCTCTCTCCTGTTATCCTTTCTTTCTCTCTCTCTCACTTAGCGAGGTCTGGAGGAGATCCCTGAGGCCTTCGACCCGGGGATATTTGGGGATGGTGAGGAAGGGCGGTGAGGTTGCCGCGGTTAGCCGAGCCCAGGACGAAGGCCACGACCAGCCAAGAGGCCACCAGGACGCGGTTGAGGACACACGGTTGGAAGCGAGAAGCTTTGCCGAGCAGAGTTCCGAACACTTGCTCCGTCGCGGCAAGGAGGCTGAATTTCTCCTTCGCTTCGCGTCGCATTCTAGATTTGGTCAGCTGGTGAATAAACGCAAGAAAGTGAAATTTTTTTTGTCTTAAAAATGGTCTTCCAGTTCCAAATGGTCATTGCCACACCTTTGCATCAATCCTTTCATTTAATAATTACATCCCTAAATCATCCAATCCCTCCTTCCCATTCCACTTTTCTAACATCGACTAAACAAAGCTCATACCAAGAAGAACGTCGCTGGAACTACAACAAGCAGCGCCATGATGGAGGCCCACACCCTCTCGCCAAGGGGTAGTAGAGGTTCTGCCAGCGAGGCTTCAGCTCGGGCTTGGCCATGCAGAAGTGAGCGTGGCTTCCTCGATCATGAAGGTGTAGTCGTAGCGCAGAGCCAGGTGGGGCAGGAGAGCCAGCTTCTGCGGACTGATTAGGGCTCGACGGTACAGCACGTGGTCCATCCTCTGGAAATTGATTGTATTAACAGTCGGTCGTATGAGTGAGCCATTACACGCCGAAAGCCTATTTGCAAATGGCGTCTCCGTTAGTTTCATGTTTGTAACCACTGTCACTTTCTGTTGATTTGCAGCAGGGCAGTGTTCCTCTTGTAGGCGCTGATGGGCGCTACGGCCTTTTCCTCTATCAGAAATAGGAAGAAAAGCATGCAATTGTTTAACTTGTGTGGAGAAATGATATTGATATGTGAATTTCCTTAACTGTGGTATATTATAATTATATATTAATTACATATTATATATATTAATATATATTAATATTATATAATATTATTATATATTTATAATATATATATTGTACATATACTATATAACATATTATATATATATTGCATTTTTATATTATATCAGATCTTACAACACACTCACATTTGTATAATATAATTTGCGTACACCGTCAGTGCTCCAATTGTCCCATACTAATACCTCTATAATAATAAAAAAATAAGCACTATACATTGCACATTATAATATTACTACTATATTTACTAATCAATATCTAATAGTACTAGTTAATGATACTATTACGGTATTATTATATGTGTGTGTGGGTGCTGTAGTCGTCATTCTGTTTGTGTATCTAATGTTTGTGTGTGATCTAGGTGTCTATCATATCTGGCTGTATGTGTCATCCTATGCTCTGAGTGTGTGTACATTTACTACATAATTATGTAATGTATATATAATATATATATTATTTATGTATGTTATTATTTTAATATATGTGTGTGTGTGTGTGTTATGATCCATGTGTTCTGCACTGTTCATATCTTTCTACTTTGTGTGTGTGTGGTGTGATTGTGATTGTAAGTGATATTAGTGTGTGTGTGTATGGCTGCATTGTGGCAATCGATGTTCTTATATGCCGTAGCGCACTAGTATCTGTGTTACGTGTGCACACAACCCCTCACTAACGAACGGTACTTACCTCCACATATAGGTATCATTTGCTGAACTCTCGCCGGCATGCGCACGTCGCCGAAAAATGGCGAAGTTGAGGTGGGCCGGGCGATGGCCTTCCAGGATGCGAATGTCCCGCGACGTACAAGCCGCTAGGCTATCTGTTGTTACCCGTGCCGTTTGGGATACGCCACCACCTTCATCCTGCAATTCTAATGACGGGCTCGAAGGCCATGATGGTCGAATGGGCATCGGCCTGCCAGCCGTGGAAGCTGCGGAAACGGGATGTTCATGGCAGTCCGATTCAGAAAATAATGCCATATAGTGCAACTAAAATAGCATTGTTTTGCTAATAAGATACATATCTAATATAACATCTAGTAATGGAACACCTGCTCGCTTTTTATTCCTCCACGAAATTTCATTTGATTCTGTATGGATTTTCTACCTTTATGGTTTTGGTGAAAAATGTTACATCACTCTACGCTGCCTTAACCTAATTTAAATAAGTTTGCCAAATCATTAATATAGACAGGGATTCAAGGATCTTACTTCGTAACTTTTCGGGAGAAGGCATGCTCAGTGAGGTACACCATGCCTTTTTTCTTTTGCGTCCCAGGTGGCAACGCGCACCGTCTGGAGCGCCACCTGGTCCGTACGGGAAATGGCTGTACAAACCATACCTTAGAGACGCAAATAAAAAAAAAATCTGAATTCGCAAATTCCGATTGAATCTACATGAAGTCAATGTCAAAGCCTTTGATGCACGATCCCCATACTACAGTACGATACTTTCAACTACACCTGATATCGTCTGCATCGTCGTCCATGTTAATGGCATGGTGTTCAGCATGGAGAAGAGCCAGAGGTCCTTCATGAGTCCCAGAAACTGCCGCCTCTCGAGTCTCGTCACCACCAGGACCCTGTTGTCCCACACCGAGAGGCGCCCTGCGTCAGCCATCTCGGCGAAGGCGTGAGGAAGTCGAGATCTTCGCTTTACCACGACCACCGTGACTCCCCGGGAACGACTGTCGGACCTGCTGGCGGTGGCGGAAATGTTGGCTGGTCTCGTAATTTACGAAGGAAATCCACGGACACACACGCACACACATGCATATATTCTATGTGTACAGTGATATGTATGTAAACTAATTTATATATATAATATATATATACTATATATATTATATATAATTAGTATAATATATATTATATAATATACAGCAGAGATAGAGGGGTGAGTGGATAAAGATAGTAGGGGGCAGTAGAGGAAGATGAGGGAGAGGAAGAGAAGAAGACGAGAGAAGAGATAAGAGAGGAAAGAGGGGGAGGGGAGTGAGAGAGAGAGAGATAAGAAGGAGACGAGATAATTTGATGAGGGAGAGATATATAGTTTATAGAGAGACAGAGAGATATAGATATATATCAACACGAATTCCATGTCGACGGAAAGACTACTATAAATTCAATCATGAGACGTGAAGAGGAAAAGGGGGGAGGGTGGTGTGAGAGTCTCGTTAGAGAGTGAGTAGGATGACAGTAGGTATCAATTGTTCTCCGACGAAACGAGAGAAAGAAAGAAAAAGATAGAGAGAGAAGGAGGAATAGAAGACAATACAAAGACGATTTTTGTGCTAAAAACAGACGTCGCTTATAATAAAGGTCCGGGCGAGGTCCGCCTTGGCAAATGTCAACTGAATTTAACTGAATTACGGTCATCGACAGCGACCGTTACACAGGATCTATAGACTTGCCTTGACTGTACACAAGAACTTAATAGTCAAATGCTCTGTATTATTTTTTTATTCATGGAGAGTATATTATCATCTCATATATACTGGAACTTATGATAATATTACTTGCATGAATAATTCTTAGGTTAATATAAATGATTTGTGAATAAATATATGTGATAGCATGAAAAAACAATAGAGAAAGATTTTTACTTGTTCGTGTATACTGATTTAGCAGAAATTTTATTCCATTTAAAATCGAAAGACGTAAAAAACGAATCAAACTAAGACTTAAATACATAAGGCATGTAGAAAAAAAGTAAATAAGTATAGAGAAGGAAAATGGATTTGAAATAAGTGAGAAAGATGAAGACTATTTATGATAATAAATTATGATTGGTGCTTTCCGTTAGACTGCATCTATTCCTTTAGCGAATTCAGGCAACCCGACTGACTTCGAGCGTGGGCCAATACAACGCTGTCATAGTGGTGTTATATTCCTCGCGCAGACGACACTCCGTGACTGCAACGCTGGGAAGGGTCAAATGTGTCACCGATGGGCTAGGCATGGGTCCCCGGAAAATACCCTTGTTTTGATAAAGTTTTTTATGAGAATTCAGTAACATTGGTATTTAAGTTGCCCACGGTAACCCATCCAAGAG